ACGGCAATATCTCCGATTCTAGTAATAGTTCGGGATTTACGACCTTTACGACCAGGGCGCCTAATTTACGACTTTTTAACGACTTTACGACCTTGCTGGACACCGTGACATAGACACTTTCATAATTTGGTGCCATACGGTTGGCTATATTTAGATGGAGTCCCGAGATCAGAAGGGTATTCCGGTCTGACGTCAAATAAGATGGCCGCCTTACCTAAAAATAGTTTGCGTTGTTCCACGTTTAATCGTATGTGCCACTGACTTGCCATCACAATCATCACAAGGCACCAACCAGGGGCACCATACCATAGTCTCATAGTCTGGCATAGTAAAAGCAGCTCCGACCAGCGGTTACTGGTGGTATAGTAAAGGGCGATTGTTAAGACTTAAGATTCCCGCGTTTAATTCCGATGTGCGTTTTTCATAACATCAGGCATGTTTCGCTCAAAAGGTCCCTAACCCTAACCCTGCCTTCCTAACTAGATGTAGATCTAGATATAGATCTAGATCTAGATTTCTAGATCTAGATCTAGATCTAACTGACCCTCCTGAAACTGAAATTGATTCTGACCCTAACTCTAACCCTAACCCTCTACTAGATATCTAACCCTGAAAAAACGCACATCGGAATTAAATGCGGGAATCTTAACAATCGCCTGGTAAAGAACAATCTTATCAATGTCCAAAATTTTGTCCAAAATGAACTACGATACCTTGTATGCCTAACTCCGCGTGAAATGCTAGTGCGATTCAGTATTTCACGGCAAAGTTTTCGTCTCAGGCTGAGAGTCGCCATACTTTTTTTTCCGAATGCTCTCCCCTAGTGAAGTGGGCAGTATTGGAAGTATGAAGACCTTGTCATATTTTACAAAAACAAAACAAAAACCAAATTTAATTATACGGCATTAACAACAGGGTAATCCTTGATCTTAGTACAAACTGTAAAAACTAAATTATTAAATTGTTCTGTCTATGAAACTATTTATTTAGTCACGAAATTAAAAGATTTTTTACAAATTTTGTTTCGGTGAGTGTCAAAATGTTTTACTTTTTAGTTTTACTTTTTAATTATATTATTAATCAAACAATCTTTTGTCAAATAATATTAGTTTCTAGGAGACATATATGCAGCAAACAAAAGTGCAAGAATATAATTCTATTTTTCAGTGCACTAGTTAAAAAGAATTATGCAATGAATTCGTTCTAGTCTCACATTAGAGGCCTTAATTATTATTCTCCATTAACTATTTCAACGTTTAATGTGCTATTAGATGAAATAACCGGGGCACATCTCCTTAACAACGCGCCATGACAACACAAGCACCGACTTTGGACGGGCACTAGGCCTCCGGGATTCCTGAGCTGGCAGTTGTACATTTTGTAGTGGTGTTTTCAAATTTCGAGAAAAATTGCCGCATCCGTGGCATTTTTGGGGCTTTTCAAATGGTGTTGATCTGATCGGAGGATTGATACCAATACCACAAATACCGTGACTTTCTCTTGAGGAAAGTTTTTCAAACGGTGAGCAAAATGGCGAGTGAACTTGAGATTGGAGACTCGCGAGTTGAGTTTATTGCTGATTATGTACTCAAAACACTCAAAGTTAAGCCTGACAAATGGACCAAAATGTACAGTTTGGACGAGAACAAACAGCTGTTTATGGACTTTTTCGACAAACAAGAGCTGAACACGCTGGTTGTCATTGCCACCTCTGCAGGAGGACTGAATGTACAGTATGAGTGGCCTGCCAACCCAAAAGCTAAAGCTTGCTACTTTGTGAAGAGGTCAAGAGACCCTGTACAAAAAGATACAGTCCTCAGGAATGCCCTCCTATATGGTGATCTCTCTTTGTCACCACTTGACCAATTATCTGCTTTCGTTGATGAGGTGAGCTCATTGTGTGTGTCCAAACATGTGTATTGTGTATTTGCAAATTATATCTGTATGTTGGCATTTGTAAAAGGATATCCATGTTTATTATCTGATGGCAGTCATATACTAAATGCATAGAGCCTGCTGTTGAGCGGGGATATGCCCTATACAAATGCTATCTATTATTATTTTATTAATTCTGTAGGATATACATTTGTCTATAGTAGTTTCTAATATCATTTACATTTTTAAAAATGTTTTAAATGAACAGTCTACATCAAGTGATTATCTTCAGACTAAGGAAACAACACACAAGACTGAGACAACATATGTACAAATGTTTTAAACTAGTACAATCACCAAAATGCCAGTGTGGAGAGGCGGACCAAACTGTTGAACACATCCTTCAGCACTGCAAGACACACAGGGCCCTGAGACAGGAAACGTGGCCAACCCCACTGACGCTACAAGAGAAGCTATACGGGCCGCCAGATGAACTGAGCAGGACGGCCCACTTTATGACAGATACCGAACTTCAAGTGTGATGCAATCGAGAAGAAGAAGAAGAACAGTCTACATAACAATCATTGTCATTTTTAATCAGTTACATCCACAGCCTGCTTAAGTCACTTGAGAAAGTACAGAACCGCTTTTTCAGTGGCTGCATGATACATAATCTCTATAAGGCCTACCATAAAATATTTTTTCAAGCACGTTGCAACTGATTTTGTTCCCAGGTTCTTGTTCCTTTGCTGTCCAATGAACGGAATCATGACCAGTGGCCAAAAGTTGTGTCTCAAGACGTCACTCGTCATGTTCACAACCTGAAGAGCAATGTGTATGTCGTGTCTGGCCAGGCAAAAGGGAAGACACTTTTGCCACTTCCTGTTGGAGCAGAAAGAGTGGAGAATGCTGGAGAAGGTGAAAAGTAAGTCAAATGAAAAAAAGTGGTGAGACTTCTCTCATAATGTTGAATCAAAACACATGAGGACTGATAATACTTTTACACATATTATTTTCAACCCTTGAAACACTGATGTTAGCAAAGAAAAAGGCATAGCAAAAACAGTAACCTTTCTTCTATGAAAGGCTTTCCCACGCCTCTTTTTGGAAGCATTAATTTATTGGGAGTAGTCTGTTTTTCTCACTTAACAGGGCTCAATATCTTCATTTTTTTTCTCCATATATGTTTCTATTTTGTAACTGTTTTGAAAGAATACCAAATACGTTTATTTTTACAGAGAAACATATGACCGCAGCTTGGTCCATGCCATTGAGTCTGTTATCATTGAGTGGACTCACCAGATCAGAGATGTCCTCAAGCGTGATTCTGTCCAGCCCTTGCTGGAGGGGCTCAACCCATCTCCATTTGTGGAAATTAAATTCTGGGAAAACAAGGCTCAGAATCTTGAGTGCATTTATGAACAGGTAAGTACAGTAGTCTCGGCATAAGATCCTGCTGCTTACAGTGCCAGTTTGCTTAAAATCCCACTGCTTTAAGAAAACAGAATTTATACTATAAAAAGTCACCCCTAAGATCCTGCTCTGATTCACTCTGAGTTCTATATTTGGTTAAGATCCCGCAATTTAAATCATAATTTATGGACAAAAACCAGGGTGGGCACTGCGGATCAATCAAGAGTGAAAATTTGCGGTTATTGAACTGCCCATCGTGTCACAGATCAACCACTCTTGTGAATGTGATGGCATGTGCGTTGTAAAACTCTATGAAATGATACAATATGTTCGCCTGAGATGGGATCACACCATGGTGTGAACTTGCCAACACGTTTGTTATTCCCCAACATCACTCTCACATCTTAGCTCTGCGCCTAAACTTACATCACTCGTTGGGTGGGTAAGGCCTACGAGTTCTCTCCAGGCAGGATCACATCGAACTGTGAACTCTTCCCTGACCATTGCAAGAGTTGTCTCTTCCCCCGAAGTTGCGAGACTGACTGAATTTTAATTGGTGTGGTCACAACAAAATAGTGCATATGGGCAAAGGCAGGGGAACTCTGTCAGAGAAGGAAAGCAATAAATTTTGGACAGGTAAAGGGAGGGGACAACTGGATAAGCATATATCTTGAGACTCACAATGAATAATAAGGGAAAATGGCATGCCTTATGCCACTGTGATAGGTAATCAAGGTTAACAATTCTTTGCTCGCCATATGTCATAAACCCACCCAGGGGTCACGCCAGTTCATTTTAGAGTAAAGGAAGCAAATGTTCCCAGTTATGGGCCTCAATACAAGTCACTGTAGATTCTTCCCTTGATGCGTCACCCAAGATCCTGTTCGCCTAAGATCCCACAATTTTCTTGCTCCCTAGCACCAGGATCTTAGGTACAGACTACTGTACAACACTCAACTTACTGTTTTCAAACGATTAATTTACTTTTGTAGCCTTTAGATATTTACCTCATTTCAAAGTTACTCATAAGCCCTGTCCATGTGGGGTCAAGGTTTTTTCTATTTCTTTGAGCCTATATATCCTCATTGATTTTTTTCTTCTAGCACTTTTCTATACCTTCAACAGGCTTTTAAAGTCACCTTTTCATAATCAAGAACTGTGTCTCTCCATTTTAGAAGCAAAAGAGGCTTGACATAAATGATACTTTGTTTGCGTAATGTCTTAAGCATTGTAACATATAAAGAAGGACTTAAAGCACATAGTTGTTCGTTAATAAAAAGAGCAGAGACATACTACGTTACAGCTTACAACCATATCCATTCTTTCCACAGCTCAGGGATCCAAAGGTGAGAAAGATGGCAGAACTTTTAGAACGTGCAAACAGCAGTTATTTCCCATCTTTCAAGAACATCTTCCGTGATGTTGTTGCAGGTCAGTTTTGATATTTTTAGTGGTCTGTAATTGTTTTATGAAATGTTTATGTTTGTTTACCAGGAAACTGCAATATATTTATATCTTTACTGGATGTTAAATGTTGGCTACTGAGCTAAATGCTTGTCTGCTGAAAAAAAACTTTCAGTTTTTGAAGATAAATTGTCCTATCCCAGAGAATTATTTATCAAGAAAATGACTGGTTAACTAAACTGTTGCAATTGCATTCTTTTTTTTAACTGCGCTGAATCTTTTAATGAGGATTGTTAAAGGCTTGTCTACTTGGAGCACACCTTGATATATTTCAAATCCCTCCCCTGTTCCTCCCTTCTCTAAAACATTGTTCTTGATCTTAAGCTATAGCAGTGGTCCTTTCTTCAGATTGTACAGGAATAGGTTTAGAGCATGCCACATGAAAGGTTGATTTCAGAATTATGCTTATTTATCATGTCTCATCTTACAATATCTAACTTTTTCTTATCGTATCTCATTTCATATATATATATATATATATATCTAAACTACCCAATATTATTTCATTGTGTGATTTCTTATTGCCTTATATACTTTCCTTATCTTATGTGTCTTTTTATATTATCTCACCTTAATTTTTCTTTGGGGGCTCTCTCGATCTAGAGGTAAGGTGTTCTTTTCTCATTCAATAAGTTCCTAGTTTAAACCCTGCTCTCTAACCATGTCCTATCGTCTGCTTTTGTCTCCACTTTTTGCCCCCCTCCCCTCTCTTTTGTCCCCTCCTCTGGACTCCTGACTCTTTCTGCAGCCTGTTTTACTGCTACTCCTTGGCTCCTTCTTACTGCTGTCTTTCAGCCACACTCCTGATCTTAGGGTAAATCTAACACCTAGCCTTCTCAGATAATGGCAAAAAAATCACGGGGGTCCTGTGAGCAAGTTGTGCATGTTAAAGATCCCTTGGTGCACCTAAAATTGATAAAAATAAGGCTTCAGCCGCCACCTGGGCAAAATTAAAGATTAATTCTTTCCAAACTGAAAATGCCTATGAACGTATCCTGTCCGCTCATATGACCTTATGCAGGTGCGAGCGCCGTAAAACACTTTTTTTTAAAATTGTTTTGAACTTTTCTTTTTGTGACGATATTTATTCTTGCCTTATTCCTATCTTAATTTATCTTGTCTTTCCCTTTCTTATCATAATCCTGGATGTACTCAGCGCTGACGGAGGCCCAGGACATCAATATGCACCTGAAGCCGCTGAGACACCAGCTGGAGGATCTAGAGCAGGCCGAGTTTGATGAGTCAGCAAAACTGATGGCTCCTATGATGCACACTGTCTGCTTGGTGTGGACACACTCAAACTACTACAACACACCGGCTCGTATCATCGTGCTCCTGCAGGAGATCTGTAACTTGATCATCGAAATGGTGAGTTATGATTTTGGCTAGAAATAGAGAGAATCAAACCTTAAATTTTCTGTATTGGTATCTCTCAGGTTTCTTTTTAAGATATTAGTAAGTAAACTATGGCAAGTCATGTTTTTTCAAATTTTACAGGAGTCACAAAAAAAAAACGGATTTTCTTGAAGCTGTTTGGGTAGATAAATTTCATTTTCATAAAGAAGCCTATAAATGACAGACTTTAGGTTCCTTTATGAAATGAAGTTTATCCACCAAAAAATGTAATTTATATCATCAAATTGACGTGGAGGATGGCAGCACCCTGGGCTTTAAAAAATGTATCCAGGACAGTGATAAAATTATTTCTAACTCAGTATGGTTTCAAACTTTGAACAAATGCAAAGTGAATTAAGTTTGTAACTCGAGACACCTCGGTAGATATGAAAGTCCTTTGTGAAAATCAATAACAGATACCTTTTCCTGCCTCATCTTATCGTATTTAAAAAAATATATTTTACTTTTATTTTCACAGGCCAGGAACTTTCTGGCTCCCGATGAACTCTTCAAAGGAGAAGTGGAAGAAGTGATTGGCAAAGTGCGTAAGTCCTGTGAGGTCTTGGCAGCATTCCGGACAGCCTATGATGACCACAAGATCAAGCTGGCCTCCTATTTCAAGGATGGAAAGGAGGCACGGGAGTGGGAGTTTGCCCCAGAACTTGTTTTTGCTCGCTACACAAAGTTCCATGAAAGAGTTGAGACCGTCAAGGTAATCTTGATAAGGAAATTTATATAGTCATTTTATCTGTTGTTTGAATGCTTTTTTTTATCTCTATTCATATCTCTAAAAGTCATTGTTGTTGTTGCCATTGATGTTGTAACTCATCATGTTACACATTGTATGTAATGAATACATAGATCTATTTTAAAATAAGAATTTGAGTTCAGTGTTTTTAATTATTGTTCAAATTATTTAAAGAAATATTCATTTTCTGTTGCTGAAATAGTTGCAAATATGCTGCTATAGGTCAGTCACAGTTTTGACTTCTACTGTTCTGGAGTAAAGCTGTCATTATTAGGAAAAATCAATTATATTTCTCGATAGGTTAGAAGTCGCAGCTTCAAAGTCAGCTAAACAAAAAAGGAAGAATAATGTAGGTTTTCATTGCAAAGAATTGATAACAACATTTTTCCCTGTCTTCCCAACAAATTGCTACAGGAACTGATGGAAGCTGCTCAGGAATTCTACAAACTAGAGAAAATTGAGCTGGGAGGAATTCAGGGAAAGCAACTTAGCTCCCAAGTACAGAACATTTTCACTGAGTTCAACGAGCAGTACAAGGTGTTCTCTGAGAGGTCCTATGACTGTCTGGACACCAGCAGTGATGTAAGGAACTTCTGTTGTATTTTTGTCTTAGCTAGAGTTTTGTGGCACTTGCAACACAATGATACCTGCAATTATGTATGAGAAGCTGATAGTATGTTATGATGTTTGTTGACTTTTTTTTTATGATCAACATTTCAAACTTCTTAGTTGTGTTGGAAGCATCAACTGCATCTAGTAATGATTTTTTTTTTTTCCTTCTATACATATCTACTAGTTAAGCCAGGTTTTGAATGCTTGCAGGAATGCAGATGGAGAGGGCCTACTGAAGCTAGATTAATTTGTGAGGCATCGTGGTGAAATTAGGCGCTCGTCAAAATAATGAAATCGAAAAAAAACGGCATTTTTTTTTCCCTATGCAATTTTTGATGAATTTTTATTTTTTGGCTCAACATCTTTTATGTCCTTTAAAAATACATTGCTGTATGGATTTTACTGAAAAACGTTGATTAAAGACACAGAAAATGTAAATTTGCAGTTTCCAAGGACTCTAAAGCATTAGAAGTCACCAAACTTTGGCGGCCATTTTCTCATTAATTTTACCTCTGAAACAAGGCGACCGCCCACCTCCTTCAATTACATATATCTCGATTTCTATTGAAGATAAATGGGTACTTTTTTCACCAAAAGCAAGACAATTAAACAAGCATTAAGATAATAACATTAACTCCACATGTCCAAAAATTGACAAGTGCCTGATTCCACCGCGTCGTGACACATTTTTCCTGAGACTCCCTATGTTGTAGGATGTGAAATTTGTAAACATTATGAATGTTTCAACAGGCCCATTTACTGTCACAACAATTACTTTATTGCAAGAATAAGCCAGTTGTCTTTTTAAAAACTAGTTATAGATTCTTTCCATCACTTTCACCATTAATGGTGAGTTGAGAATTTTTATTTTTTAATCACCTTGACTTTGATTTTTTTTTTTTTAAAAGAAACAAAGAGATATGAAGACTGTGACTGTTAGAAAATTTTTTGAAATCTTTTTAATGTATTTGTACCGTACGCTTCCTAGGAAGTTGAGATTGTTTCAGAATACTATCATGTCTGCTGGGATAATAATGTAGATTGCGAAGTGCATAGAGTTTGCTTTTGAATGGGAATTTACACTTTACAAATACTGTCTATTATTATTATCTTTTTGTGATTAGCAGATGCATTACTATCCGATCCCATCATTATTTTTAAAACATAAAGTTCCTTCCTGAAACGAAATGTAATGTAGTAAATAATGCTTTTCCCTTTTGTCATTAACAGGAATTTGTTGAAGATTATCACCAGTTCTTGGAAAAGATTGCAGACTTTGACAGAAGATTGGCCACCATCATCTGTCAGGGTTTTGACGATTGTTCAGGGTTGGAGTCTGTCTTTAAGGTAAATTAGATTTTGTTTAGTTTTCCCAGATGATTCACAAGATACACATGAATGTGAGCAACATCTATTTCTTTTGGAGACTTGTTAGTTTGAAGAAAGTATTTTGATCAAACCTTATGCAGTAATCTTTCTTCAACTTTTACTGACATCTCTTGTAAATGTCTTTGATGGTTAAGCTTTTGGATTTTGCTTACAAAAGACTTTAATTTAATTCCCATATGGGAAAGTCTTATTTTTTCAAAGTGTATCCATGATCTTTTTACTGAGATGGTGTATTCCACTCAGACCAGGCAGGATTAATTTTCCTCATAAATATTTCAAATTGTGTCAATGGGAGTGTTAAACATTTTCAGCCATTTTGATACATCTTGAAAGTTTTTTAAGTGGACTCATGATAGATTTCATGAACCATGTTTTGTTTTTTTACCGCAAATCAACTGCTTAGTGTAAGACTCCGCTGTACTCCATTTTAAAAAGTGACATACGACGGAGTCTTACATTGAACAATCGGAATAAAGCAGGATAGTGTTTTATTTCATAAATAGTAGAAAGAATTGTATGCTGTGGGAATGTTGCAATTTATCTATTATCTATTTGTGGTGGCCGAATTTTGCTATTCAAAAGACTTTTTAATGGCTGCATCGATCAACATGCGGTTTTCGCCAAAAGATTCTTTTAAATATTCTCCAGATCATGACGCCCTTCGTTTTTTCAGTTTTGAGACAGTTTTACTGCAAAAAGCTAAATTTCTTTATTTCGCTGATCGCTTTTGTAGGCCGATGCTTCTGTCTCTGTAATTTTAGAAAATCCGCCAGGTTTATTTCAAGTCGTACTTTCGTTCGATACTATCGCGCATTGTCGCGCAATACTGAGCACTATTTCAAGTGTGCGACCCGAATAGATCTAGTCTCATGTTTTCTTTTTTTTTACTTGGTGCTAAATTCGACTGTGATCCTTTCGTTTGATACCCATCATCGCTTTTTCCTGACCCCTTTGTCAAATTCTTTTTCTTGCTACTCTCATGGGAACAACGTTCTTCAACAGGTCTTAGATTAGAATCTAGATCTAGATAGCGCCTGACCATGCCAAAAAGAAAGCGACATTCTGCAGTTGGAACCCCTCGCGCTCGCAAAGGTCGAGGTGGTATAGATCAACAACAAAAGGATGGGGACTCTCTAGATCTAAATCTCCCAAAAGCAATCCTCTACAGTGTCAATTCGTTTCAGTACGAGTACAACATTGGGAAACTGACGACACAGTATACACACTGCCTGGCCTTAAGATTTCCATGAACCGATCATTCCTTTCATCGAAAGGGGGCCCAGCTAGTCCCTTTTATAAGTCAAGTAATAAACGACTTTGATTTTGTCACAATTTTTATCATACTTCTTTGGCTTTTTTTCTATCAGCTGATAGACATCATGGGATCATTGCTTGAACGCCCACTGATCAAGAAGGACTTTGATGAGAAGTATCCAATTGTTGTGGACAGAATGCATAACATGCTGGATGAAGCAAAGCTGATGTATGACAGACAGGTAGGGAAGGCAAATCTCTCTTATTAAAACAGCATGGGTTGTCCTGATTTCTTATACACAGACAGGCTGAATGGGTGAGATTACTAACACTTAGCACCCAGAAATGTATGGTCGACAGGATTGCCTTCACACAGACAGGTAGGGTGGGAGGATCATATATGTACACAGGTGGGTAGGAGGGGTTGATCATTTGTACACAGATGGGTAGGAAGGGGGATTCATTTATACACAGACAGGTAGGATGGGTGTATTATTTATACACAGACAGGTAGGATGGGTGTATCATGAATATACACAGACAGATAGGAAGAGTGGATCACTAAAGCTCAGACAGGTAGGAAGGATGGATCATTAATTAATATGCACAGACATGTAGGGTGGGAGGGTCATTTATACACATGTAGGAGGAAAGGGTGGATCATTTATACTCAGACAGGTAAGGTGGGTGGATCATTTATACACAGACGGGTAGGATGGAGGGATCATTTATATGCAGACTGGTAGGGAGGGTGGATCATTTATACACAAACAGGTTGGGCGGATGGATCATTTATACATAAGCGGGTAGGGTGGTGGTTGATCATTTATATAGACAAGTAGGGTAGGTTAGTTTTCTGTCATATAGACAGAGGGCAGTTCCCAGTCATACAAACAGGTAGAGGGTGCAGGATCTCTTAGAAGCAGATGTATAGGATGGATGAGAGGTCATTTGAAACACAGATGAGTGATAAGATTTTTCATCAAACACAGAATTACTTTTGTCTTTCTTGGTCATTTGCATGATAAGAGTAACTCATATTGCCACCTTGTACACCAGGATTGTAAATCAAAAAAGAAATTATTTGTATTTTTTGTTCAAGAAATCGTTTACTCTTTTTATTACAGATTTGAACTACACTTCAAAGAAATATTTCCTCCATCTGTTTATTCTGAATTTTAAGATTATGGTAAAGCTTATGAAGAATATTCTGCTCTAATGATGACAATCTTTCCACAACTTTTGTGGTAGAGCTCCTTATTTCTGTTGGTCTCTTCCACAGGTCCAGTCCAAACAGGAGACAGGCAAGAGTCCCATCCACAAGAACATGCCAAACATGACAGGATCCTTGAGGTGGTCAAGGGAGTTGGGAGAACGGATCACTGCACCCATGTCAACCTACAAGCGGATGGAGCATCCGTATGTTAATCCACAAGCTCAGCATCTTTCTGCTTCTCAAGTTGTTTCCTTTTCTGTCTTTCTCTCTTTTTCTCTCCTTCTTTCTCTTTGGCGCTGCTCTCTCTCTCTCTCTCTCTCTCTCTCTCTCTCTCTCTCTCTCTCTCTCTCTCTCTCTCTCTCTCTCTCTCTCTCTCTCTCTCTCTCTCTCTCTCTCTTTCTCTCTCTCTCTCTCTCTGTCTCTCTCTCTCTCTCTCTCTCTCTCTCTCTCTCTCTCTCTCTCTCTCTCTTTCTCTCCCCCCCCCCCCACCTTTCCTAACTTTGTGTCATGCATTTCAACTGAAAGTAATAAAGATAGTTATTCAGCTACATGTAACTAAAACAGTCCTCAATCGGTAATCTAAAGGAGCTGTAGCAATTTACTGAGATTTTGGGGTTTGTTTGTTTTTTGTAACAGCTTTCTCATGCTAATCTTTTTTTTCCTTTCAGCATCATGGAGACAGATAATGCCAAATTGGTGTTCACCAAGTATGAGGAAATGATGAGTCTTCTCAACCAGTAAGTAATGAATCCCCCACTCCTTTTTCTCATATCCTCCTCTACTCTCTCTCCTCTTAAAAGTATCTCTTTCAAATGTATTAATTTTTCTTTAATTTTGCCTTGATCTTATTTTGATCTTAACTCTTTCCGGGCGTATCATGGTATATCGGCATGAGTCCACACCCCTTGCGGACATCACCGATATATCGGCTGTGATAGGGTGCCTCAGTATTGTTTCGTTTTAAAACGATCCGTCATTTATAATTACTTTATATTGCTATTGAAAAACTCGGAAATGATTTAGGAAACGAAAACATCAAGTTTCACTTTGTCAAAGCGTGGGTTTGGGGAAAAAAGAATGAATTAGTTCTTGCGGTCTTGCATCAACAAAACGATGTTACCGGCCTCAGTATGAATTTCATAACTCAAACAAAAATTGGAATATTGCTTTCAAATAAAAAGCTGCACATTCAGACATTTATGGATTATGCTCTTGGCCTGTATATGATAAGATAGATATGCTGATTTGCTTTCACATATTTGGCGAATGTAATTTTTTCCATCAAAATGTACTTTTCTCATCGCCATCACCATTTCTAACCCTTCTAATGCATACTTATGTTTAAAATTAATACTTGTTTCATATCGGGATGTATTCCTCATTCAATTTCCTTCAATTTGATTTATCATATGTTATGTTTGGAGTGATGGTTATGCTTCTATGAAGTTATTTTGTACACCATCTGCACAGCCAAATCGAGCCACAAGTTAATTATGTCTAGACCCAAAAAAAACTATGTGCGGAAAGAGTTAAAAATATTGTCATCAGTATGGAGTTTTTGCTATCATAATTTTTTTTGTCATCATATGGTCTAATGAGACTGGAACTTGTCTAAATCTGATTCCCATGAATGATTTAGCTAATTTAGTCTTTTCATGTACCCTATTTCTGAAATTGTGTGGACAAAGATATGCACAATTTTATGATAGGTTAAAATGAATTTGACCAGCATGCACATGACCAGTGATTTTATGAGTAGTTTGACTTATGAAGGGTTCAACACTTATGGCTTTTTTGTCTTTTCTAGGTGGGATCAGGACATCTATGATGAATGGACAAAGGGAGTTGACTCTGCTTGTAGCTTCAACCTCAGCCAGCCACTGCTTACCAGGAATGAGGAGTCGAACCTCATCTCCGTCAACTTTGACCCTCAGGTGAGTAGTAATGATATTCGGATAGGGTATTGAAAAATTAGAACCCTTACATCGTGATGTAGATGGTGAGTGAGCTACAACTGCATTGCTGAGACGAGTATTGCTAGCAAGTAGTGCGAACGAGCTTTAAAAAGTCACTTTTATTGTACATTCTAACATGGGTATAACTTTTCACTGATAGATAAAGGGTCTTGCAGGGTGCAATATATGAATTTGAATAGTTAAGTTAAAAAACGGGATTTTTTTCATGTATTTGTTTTGATAAGCAAGGAAGGGATATAATTTGCTCTTGTATTTTTGGGGGGGTTTAGCCTTGGTAAAAATAAAATGGTGAGTGGAAAAGAGTGGGGGGGGGGGGGGGGGGGTCATGATGAGAAGGCAAGCATTTCTTGTCAAAGAGCATTTGATATTTTTGTAATCACATATAGTTCGGTAGGTGGTTGGAGGTTGTCTCCGGCAGACTCTGTTTTTAAAAATTATTTCTCTATTGTTTCTCTCTTTCAAGCCTGCTTTTTTTGTCAGGGCTGCGAGAACATCATTATGTTGATGTGCTTCTCTGTACTCAAACAAACAAACAAAGTTGTGTGGATGGCGGTTGCTCTAGCGTGGTTTGCTCCTTCTTTCCTGTAAAAAATCTATCGTCCTTATCTTTCCTTCTTTTTTTGAGTTTGCTGCTCTCGTATAATGCTTCTAATCTTTGGCACCTACATGACCTAATTGTGTTGTATTTGCTGTGAAACTTTTACTATTAAACAAAACAAACAAACCTAAAACATAGCTCATGTATCGTGGTCTTGTGTTGGTCCTCAGCTGGTTGCTGTCCTTCGTGAAGTGAAGTACTTGGAGATCCGGAACAAGGAGGAGATCCCCAACAGTGCCAGTAACATGTACTCCAAGAACGACACCTTCCGGAAGTTTGTAGCCAACCTGGACCTCACTGTCCAGTGGTACAACAAGGTATGTGACAGAGACTGGGCACATAGAATGACCAATATAAACGCTTTTTGTTGACATAGTGCTCTGTTGTTGTGGTAATGTTCATAAAGATTATTTATGTAGCAACGGTCTCAATATGGCTGGAGGAACTGAGGGTTATTCACATCCAAATCAGAACTAATTGGTTGTTTTTTTTAATGTTGTCTCCACCTTACTACCCCCCCCCCCCCTTCTTTTTCTCCCTGTCTTTCTTTCTTTCTTTCTCCCTCCTTCTCTCTCCTTCTCTTTGTGGCACTACCTGCCTGACTGATTGCCAATCTGTCTGCCTCATTGCCTGTCTGCCTCATTGCCTGTCTGCCTCATTGCCTGGCTGTCTTTTTTCTCTTTCTTTCCTGCACACTAATACATATACATTCACAGACACATGCACATTCATAATAATCACTTCAGTAAATCATGGCCTGTTTAAAAAGAGTAGCCCCCTCCCCTCCCCCCCCCCAACCAAGCCAGTACAGTGTACAAAATGAACTTTTTACATATTTGTATAAGATTTGTCATGGCTTTTCAGCAGCTTTCATTTTTTTACAACATTCTGTTTGTATTCCTATGAAACCTTTGTTTGCATTTCTGATTACTTGGTTTTATGAATTATGTTTTATATAATTATTAGCAGTATAAATGAAGTGATAATGAACCTGCATTTTTTATTAGTTTTGGTAAGGGATAGGGGGAGAGCAGGGGGAGAGGGGGGTGCTAGTCTTGTGTGTCCAGTGTCATCAAGTTATCCTTATGTTGTAACATCAGGTGCGCAGAACAGTTCTGGAGGTTGAGTATCCACTCATTGAAGGTCAACTGGCCGAGATTGATCAACAGCTGGAGCAGGCAGAGAAAACTCTGAACTGGGAGAATGAGGGTAAGTCCAGATTGTCTGCCCCTTTTTTGTGTAGAAATGAAGAAAACCAGACAGTGCCTTGCTGTTCTTTCATTTAATTTTTGTGTGAATTCATGTCTGTCTGAGAGGCAATGATTTTGAAAAAAATATAGCTCCTCCAGTACCTTTTTCCGTTAAAGATATATCTAGAGTTTTCTTGGACATGCAGCTATTTGTTTAGTAACTGGGAAAGTAAGTAATCAGAAATCTGACTGACTGTAAGACGATTTTAAATGTTTTATGCTTCTATCGAAACAATTTAGATCATATTGTCTATGAAGTAGGGTGTGCTTCAACGCTTCCTATCTTTGTTAATTTAGGCTCTCTCTAGTACAACATGTGATTTGTACCACTTTTCTCTCTTTAACTCATTCGTGGGGGGCAGCGCGGCTAAAGTACCATCAGTACGCTAAGCCACCCCCAGCGGCTCGAGAATCGATCTTCAATTTAAGCTTAGATTCTATTCTTATCCACATATCCATGTTGAAATAAAGGTCATAATATAATGTTGACTTCCGGGTCTAGCGTTTCCACTGAAATTCAGAAGTTTTGATTCAGTTTTGAAAACCAATCTCAAAGTTTATGCGACTTTGTTTTTTCGCGATGCTCAAATTATAGCCCAGACACCAGTCTTACTACTTTTATACAACAAAATATATCGTTATTTTGCACACTAAAAAAATGTAGGACTCTTCTCTAGAATATTGATACAATCAGGCTCAAATTGCCATTGCTTTGTTTTTGGGAAATCAATATTTTTCAGTGCTATAGATCTAAGTCAAATTATTTTTTTTCTCCCAAAAATCACTATTTTTTTGTGAAATTACACAAAAAGTACCACTCAAGACATGTGTAGGTTTATTCCAAATACAATTCTGAATAATTCCATATACAATACGAGTGTTTTTTTCTGTTTGTGAATGCATCTTGTCCATTTTTCAAGATTATAAAATTTTTGTTGTTTTTTTTTCTTTGAGTATGTGATCCAAATGTGCAAATTTTATGGAATGTATATAAATAACTGCAAATTTTTCAATATTTTCCAGTTTTATATTCATTTATGGTTATTTTGATGTATCTTTTGACTAGGTGCAAACATATTTTTTGAGTTTCACCGAAGATGATTAATTTTTTATTTTTTCAAATTTTATCCGCATCCAAGAAAAATTGTGTTGCATAATCGCCTCCTACAAGAACCAAAGTTGAAAAATATACAAATAAACATTACAGATGTATTCTACAAATCATACTGAAAATTTTGGTGCATAACATGTTAATATTTATTTAAATTTGTGGCCCCAAAGACCTTTGAAATGCGCACTAGTCTTCATCTCATTTCGCCTTCCCGAAAAAAATTTGTCCACAAGCCGAAAATAATACGTAGCGAATAAGATAATAAAGCATGTCTTTTGTGCATCTCCCCTTTCTAGTAAAACATGTGTTGTTAGTTACTTGACTCAAACACATACATAACATTTGTACTACTCTTTGTATGGTACTACACATGATTTGTACATCTTCTCACTCTCATGCAACATATGACTTGTACAACTTCTCTTTCTGGCATAGAGTTTGACTATCACTACTTCTCTCTGTAGGAGTGTGGGACTACATCGAGAAGACCAGGGACCGAGTTTATGACCTCGAGACGCGTGTACAAAAGTCAAAGGACAATGTGGAGGAGATCAAGAAGATTATGACGACATGGTCAAAAACACCACTGTTTGAGAGGAAGGAAGACAAACACGACTGTCTTCTGCAGTTGGACGATAGGGAAGATCGTATCAACAAACGCTACAACGAAATCAAGGCTGCCGGTGACAAAGTCCATGAACTAGTCAAGGTGAGTACTTTTTACACATCATTGTGTTGTTTCACATAGTAAGGTATGGGTTAGTTGCTGCTAATTAAGTTTAATAGATGCACTTAGCCTGAAATGTTCATGTCCATCCTTGAGAGGATGGAGTCAAGTGACTGGGGAACCATGAAAAATCCTCACACACTCCAAGTGCAACAATACCCTACTGAATACACAAACCAAGCTTATTTACCTTGCATTTGTGGCATGGTGTCACTGACTTGAACATGCAGAGTGGCATAGGTTATGATATTATAACTTGATGATTATGTTAGTATTCATCTAGCTACGTGCAGCCTTTTCAATGCTTCATACCAACAGGATCAGATCAGATCAGACAGATTTTCTTATTTTTATTTTCTACTGACAAGAGTTTTCAGAGGTCTCATGACTAATCCTTTATTTTATTTTGATTGTTTTAGAGACGAAAAGGATCTTTAAAAAGGTGTTATTATGCTCAAAGAATGTAAATAAAAGTTCTGTTATTTCTTACTTTTGTCATTTTGTTGTTGTAGCTGTTGTTTTGTTTTTAATTTTATCCCAGGCTGTGAAAACTTTCTCCCTGTACAGCCAAAGTTGACTGATAAAGTCCCTATCTCCTGTTTTGAGGTTCCAGGGTTCAGAGAAGGTGTTGCCAGTTTTTCATTTTCGGGGTACAAGTTTCTTTGTTACTACTTGAGTCAAATCATTTTTTTTTTTAATGGACCGTCTTTCTCCTTTTTATCCAGCTAAATCTAGAGTTCTTCAAAGCAGACAAGAGCACAGACATCTGGAAGGCATATGTGGATTACATTGATGAGATGGTGGTGGATGGATTCTTCAACACCATCCGATGTAGTTTACAGTTTATGCTCACTCACACAGGTCAGTGAAGTGAATTGTTAATGAAGGTCTTTGACAGCACCACCACACTCCCCACCCCCAACTCTTACACTCCATTGTTCTTCCCTCTCTCCCGCATCCTTTTGTTTTTTGGGGAGGTTTTACTCTATCTCAGGCTGTGCCCTATTCGGCTGATGTTTCAACTGCTGGTGTAATGATCGTGAAAGGGGTTGACAATTGTCACGTACTTTGAATTTCTTTTCATTTACCTGAGACAACTTCTTTGTCTTGTAATGCTTTTTTTCTCTCTTCATATTACTGGGGTATTTACTCTTTCATTTTTGAAAAAAAGAAAAGAAAACCCCATTTTCGAGCAGGCAGTTGGAGGGTGCTACTGGTAGATCCAACTTCTCTCTTGCCCTTTGTTGTTTCTGTCTCATCATTTATGCTTTTTCCCAGCACTAAAGGACCATTAGGGTGTTGTTATGTTTATCTTTACTCAAACAAACAAACATCCAGAACTTTTGGCCAAAAATGTTTTTAAAAAGGCGAAGCACATACACTTGATGTTGTGAAAATAATGATTAATGATGATATTAATGTTCTTATTAAGTGTGATATTATGATACCTCCGCTGTATTGCTTGATATTTACTAAATAGCCTCACGTCAAGATGAATACATAGTTTATTGATAAGTCTTACAATCTTTTGACACTTTTCAAAGCTGTTTCTTCACGACAGGCAAAGCATTTTGTTTGACTTTCCTCCTGGTGTTGATTACCAGATGCCAAACTGACCCAAGGGCCATTGTTTGAAGCCAAGTTGGAGCTGCACGTGCCAGAGATGGTGTTCCTTCCTTCCCTGGACTTCGGTGTTGCAGATGGCTACTACGATGAAGTAGACGGTCTGGTGGGAGACATCTACAAGCAGTCTTCGCTCATCCCTCGGCTCGCGGAGCACTCTGGTCAGCAGCATTACCAGGTACGGTTCATGCCTGCTGCCTCTGAGCAGAAATTTTGGAGGGAGAGAGTTAATTATTTGAGTGGGGGGAGGGGGCCTTTTTTCTAATTATTGATACAAAGCACCTTTCTTCTCAGAATGGTTGAAAGCAGTTGGAGATGTGAATACACCTCTGCTGCCTCTGAGCAAACTTTTGCTTGTTTATTTTTCTGTTTTTTGCTTTTTGAAAGATAAATAATTCAAAGCACCTTTATTCTCACTCTAGTTGAAAGTAGTTTGAGACGTGAATGCATTAATCTACCTTGGAAGACATCAGTTTCAAGTACACATTTGTTATTCTGTCTGTTTGTGTCTTTAATCTTCTGTGGAAGACTTCAGTTCAAAGTATACATGTGTCTTTTTGTCTGTGTCTGTCCCCAGCCCGATTTGGAGGACATGGAAGAGCTGAGTGAGATGAGGCAGGAGCTGATGGACCGAGTGCAGAACATCATGAACAAAGCTTGCGAGTACCGCAACTCCTTCGACAACTACGCCTATCTGTGGGTGGATGACCGCAATGAGTTTATGCGACAGTTCCTTCTGTACAACCACGTGCTCACCACTGAGGAGATTGAGGCTCATGCTGACGAGGGTGTACCAGAGAGCCCACCAACACTGGCACAGTTCAAGGACCAGGTAAGGCCAGGGGAAATTGTGACATCTTAGACGTTTTAGCTCTCACCTGCAAAATTGGTGGTAAACAAGGCAGGGGTACACCCAGAGCTACTAACTTGGAGAGCCTAAACAGATGGATGATGGGGGGAAGGTCAGGATAATCTAGCTTTTTTTTAGACCATCCAAGCAAAAGAATGAGTAGAGAGCCATGGGTACTGATGACTGCCAATAATGATGAGACATGTTAGTACACATGAGTATGACATCATGAACATTGAGTTGTAATCATGACCTTGACACCTTACTCCCTGCTCTATATTTCTTCTTATGTGCGTGCAGATGTGAATCATCAATAGGAATCAAAGTATAAACCCTATGGACCAGAGTGCATACCTGAACATAATAACTTTACCTTTCTGTGCACCTAATGCATGCTTCAGTATGTGGTGGTACAAATGTAGTTATCGTCCCAAGAGGACTCAGGTATACAGGACCTGTATGGCTTAGGGAACCTGGGCTCAGAAGGTTTACAGTGAGCATTACAGCCATTGCATTATGAATACTCTGGTCTGGACAGTGTTTTGAACTAGGCTTTTTGAATATAGTAATACTAGCTCGGCCCCCTTTTGATGAAAGGAATGATCGGTGCATTAACATCTACTGAATATCATTGGTCTACTATATTTACACACTACTGGAATGGAGCAATAAATCTTGAGAGAAAAGTGACACATGTGTTTCCAAGTTGCCAAATATATAATAGATGTATAAATTGATTCTCTATTCCGCTTTTGTGGTTGTAAAGAAGCATGTTGATTGTTCCCAGTAGCAAGAAATAGAATTTGACAAAGGATTCCAGAAAAACGATGATGGGCATCAAACGAAAGGATCACAGTCGAATTTAGCACCAAGTAAAAAAGGAAAACCTGAGGCTAGTTCTATACGAGTCGCACACCTAAAATAGTGCTCAGTATTGCACGACAATGCGCGATAGTATCGAACGGAAGTACGACTTGAAATACAAACCTGGCAGATTTTCTAAAATGACAGAGACAGAAGCGTCGGCCTACAAAAGCGATCGGCGAAATAAAGAAATTTAGCTTTTTGCAGCAAAACTGTCTCAAAACTGGAAAAAACTAAAAGCGTCAGGATCTGGAGAATATTTTAAAGAATCTTTTGGCGAAAACCGCATGTCGATCAAGGCTGCCATTAAAAAGCCTTTTGAATAGCAAAATTCGGCCACCACAAATAGATAATAGATGAAGATGGTTGTGTCGAGTTATAAACCTAGCTGTATTAGTGCAGTATTGTGAACATGAAGATGTGAATACAATGTTATAAACATAATGTTTAGAACATGAGGAGGGTGTGTGTAAAGTGAGTGAGACAGAGCAGGGGAGGGGCGTGCAGGCTATTTCTTTTATACAAAAGGAAACAGTACTTGCTTTTATTTTGTTTGAAGTAATCTGTGGACTTTTATGTAATTATAATAAACTAAACTTATATTTTGTATATGAAAAGAAAATGCATCTTTTTTTTCATCATCTTGCATTGTCTGTTGTTTCCATCAGATTGATACCTATGAGAAGATCTATGAGGATGCAGTCCACATTCAGGACACAGAGTTGTTTGAGCACTGGTTCCGTGTGGATGCCAAACCCTTCAAACTGTCCTTGCTGAACATCATCAAACGCTGGAGCTTCATGTTCAAACAGCATCTCATCGATCATGTGACCAACAGGTGAGTGATGGCAGAGGGTGGTTATGGAGAGAGAAAGAGAGAGAGAGAGAGAGAGAGAGAGAGAGAGAGAGAGAGAGAGAGAGAGAGAGAGAGAGAGAGAGAGAGAGAGAGAGAGTGGATTTTTTTAAAATCCCCTCCTTCCTTCTTGTTTCTGCTATTGGTAGGTGTTCTGATGTCCCTTTTCTCCTTCTGGTTTTTTTTGTTTGTTACTGTTGTTCTATTATTGTCTGAGTCACCATCAGCAACAACTTATGTCTCTCTCTAAACCCAGTGTGGTCAAGTGTGTGGCTTCGAGAAGACCAGATGAAAAGTACAAGTGGTTTATATTGTGACATGTTGAAAATAGATATTAAACTTCAGTTCAATCACAAATTATGTTTCAAGAAATATTTGATGATAAACGACTTCTAAATCCTAATTTCGACAGATTTTGCTCAAATGCTATTCAAAACATTTTTAAATAAGTTATATTGAGGACACACAGCAGAATACTTTGAACTGTTTGCTCCAGCAGACTGACATTAATTTCCAAGCCTAATGTAACATACCAAACTAAAGAAAAGGAAATTACCTTACTTGGGAAACTCAGTGTATGTGAATATTATAACAGCAGAAATGACTGAAGAACAACAACACACCTTTTGTTCTACTCTTAATGTGGCTTCACAATGAAAAATACTCAAATGTGTTTTCTCAAGGTGTGTCTTTCACAGCCCCTTGTTGTTTTGAAATCCTATAACTTTTTTAAAAACGATCCAGTTGCATCCAGATAAAGTGCTTATAAGAAATAATAGGTAGTCTCTATATAGTGCTCTATCTTGTTATGAAAAGAGCTCTGAGCGCCTAAGACAGAATGAGCTTTTCGAATAAGTAAAAATGCCAATTAGAAAATTTCCACCTACCAAATGGTTTCCTCAGAGCCACACATGTTCATGTAATCATCACTTCTTTAGCTTGAATGTGGCCCACAAGAGGAACAAATGGGAATCAAGATCTAATAAACAAGAAAAAGGAAATACATTTTTGTCAACCACAAAATTTCTCTAAGAAGACACACTTGGGACCCCTTATCCACAGCCTGAACAACCTGACAGAGTTCATCAAGACAACAGACTCAGGCTTGCAGAAAGAGGTTGAGGATGGCGATTACAACGGCCTTGTAGAGGTCATGGGCCACTTGTTTGCTGTAAGGGAGAGGCAGCAGAGCACTGATGACATGTTTGAACCACTCAAGCAGACCATTGAACTGCTCAAAACTTATGATCAGGAGATGCCGGATGAAGTCCATGTTCAGCTGCAAGTACGTGTATCCCTTAGTGCTGTCACTTGTTTGTTCTTCTACATTTATTTAGCCATAACCTCAATGCAATAACATAACTTCATCAGGGACTGGCTGTGGGGGATGGGGAGGGGAAAAGTGGAATAAGTCAAATTATACTTGTCCCACTAAAAATCAAAGTTCCTACCCCCTTGTAATGATAGAACCGTGACATGAAAAGGTAGAAGAATAATGATTTTGCTTTTTTACTGTACCATGTGTAATCAATATAGCTATAGTAATATTTCTCTGTTTGACCTAACTGCTTATATATAAGAGGTAGAACTGCCTCTCTTGCTGAACAGTCTGTGAGTGAAACCAGACTCTCATAGTGTGAGATGAAGCAGCAAAGTGTTTATTTGTTAAAGGCTTAAGTCTCACGGGTGCTAGTTTTTGCCTTGTATTCATTCTGACTGAGGGTTAATATCCATTTGATAGTACACATGCTCATTAACTCTTATGAGATATGGAAAGTAATATTAACCATCTTCTTTTACCAAGTTATAATCTCGGCAAATTCTATGGTATGCAAATCTTTAAAAAACGTTCAGTCTTGTGTAAGTCTTCTTATCTAAAAATAAGCCCCTTCTATAGCAAGGGCCACATAGCTTATTGTATCGGACCCACATTGCTTATTGTCACACGTCTATGCAGGAGTTGCCAGAGCAGTGGAACAACACTAAGAAGATCAGCATCACAGTCAAGCAACAGGTGGCCCCTCTACTGGCCAATGAGGTGACAAACATTCGCAAGAAGAGTGCCACATTCGACACCAGCCAGCACAAGTTCAGGGAAAAGTTCCGTGCCATTCCACCATTCAGATACGAGTGTGAGAAGCCATACGACCATCTGGACAGGGTATGTATGTGCTTACCAAGATGAAGCAATTAGAAATGGGAGCTTGTGTGTTAAGCTTGTACGAAGGGCTGAGATGTTTCGTGTCTGTTACCGCAGCAGAATGAAATAATTTCTCTCACCTTAATCATCGATAAGTATTTTTATGACACAAAACAGTGAAAACTTTAAGAAATATTTTAAAGTATTGGTTGGTACTTTGTTTGCTCTTTTTTCATGTTTCCATTTCTTCTGATTCTGGTTATTGTATAGGTTTCACACCCTTTTCAACCCTGTAAGGTTATTTAAGAGGTAGGACCTCTGAATTTTATGTCCATCTCTATACAGAGCCTAATGAGTTTTTGTTATATTCTGTCATTTCAAAAGTCCTTGATATCGTCCACAGTATCATGAAGAAATCAAGTCAATGGAGCAGGACATGGCTCTCCTTATGGAGTCTGCGAGTCTGTTTGAGGTGAATATTCCAGACTTCAAGCAGTTGAAACAGTGCCGCAAGGAGATCAAACTTCTGAAGACACTGTGGGACTACATCATCATTGTACGCAGCAGCATCGATGACTGGAAGACAACACCATGGAAGGCAATCAATGTGGAGCAGATGGATTTGGACTGTAAGAAGTTCTCCAAGGACATCCGTGCCTTGGACAAGGAGATGCGTGCCTGGGATGCATACATCGGACTGGAGAATGTGGTCAAGAACATGTTGACCTCACTGAGAGCGGTCAGTGAGCTGCAGAACCCAGCCATCAGAGACAGACATTGGCAGCAACTCATGGCTGCCACTAAGGTAAGCACACTTTTCTGTGGAGGAGATTAGTACAGGAAACAGGTGTACACATTTGCAGAAATACATATTTATGGTCACCACAGTGATATTGAAAAGTCATTTCAACACATAAATAAACTGCAATGAATGAGCCCAATGCGCACATGGTGCAATTACATCACTACGAATACCCCCAAGGTGAGCAGGCATTCTGTAACCCTTTTCATACCATGAATTATCAGTGCATTGTTTAAGTGTAAAGAAGTCTATATATCGACACTTGGTACAGAAAGAATGAACACACTGACGGACTGTAGTAAGTAAATTAATACACACATGAAATAAATATACTATCGTGTGTAACAGTAATCAGAACAAAAGAGTGGTGCTTGAGTAGGTTGACTGCTCCAATTGAATTTTCAATCTAAAAACATGTATTCTAATAACTTTATAAAGGTTTGCAAAATAAAAAACTTGAAGCGCACTAGTGCAAAGCTGCTTTCGTGTATGATAATTTCAACAATTTAATGTTCTGTCTTTTGGTATTCTTCTGTAAGAAGTATGCTTCTGTAAGAAAGTTCCTCTATTCCACTGCTTATAACTTTCCACTGCGCTACTTGTGACAAAAATCAAATTTCCATGAAACAGTCTGCTAATTGACAATTTGTAGTGATTCAGGTTCTTTGTGTGTCTCTTCTCATAATGTATCTCCATCTGTCATCTATCATTTTTTATCCCTGTCTGACATCTCTTCTCTTCTCCAGGTGAAGTTTGTGATGGACGACAACACGACACTGGCCGACTTGTTGAACCTGAACCTCCACAACTATGAGGACGAGGTCCGAACCATTGTGGACAAAGCAGTGAAGGAGATGAGCATGGAGAAGGTGCTAAAAGAGCTGGACAGCACATGGTCAACCATGGAGTTTGAACATGAAAAACACCCACGCACCGGCATCACCATCATCAAGACATCTGAGGAGCTCATTGAGACACTTGAGGACAACCAGGCAAGTCCTCTTGAGTTTGAGTAAAGATAAGCTCATCAACACAATAAAGGTCGTTCAGTGCAGGGAAGATAGACAATAACATCAGAGGGTTAGAAAAGAAGTAGGACTTAGCAGTGGCGCCCTCCAACCACATTTAGTGGGAGAAAGATAGACTATAACAACAGAGGTAAAAAAAGAGAAGTCGGACATACCAGTAGTGCCCACCAAACACCCACTGATCTCTTTTTTCTGTGTGCTTTATGAGCCTCAGTGTCATGCAAGCCGAGTGTGACAAACAAGGTTTTCGTGCAAGAGTTTACCCTTAGATTCCCTTCATTTTGCTTTATTCTTCAAGATTAGTGCACAGTATGTCTATTGTCTTTTGAGAGAATTGCTTGTCTATATGCTCATTCAGATTTTGGAGTATGATTTGTTTCTTACTTAGGTTGATTTGTTATTAGATGAAATGGAAAGTGTTCGTGTTCAATAATTTTTTAGCCTTGTTTTTTGCTTTTTAAAGACTTATCGCTTCCTCGTCCCTGCCTGTGTTTTAACTAAATTTGTTTTTCAGAATCAATTATTATGTTACTATTAATGAGCAGGTTAGATATCCTCCTAAAGCACACTATTCATAACATCACTGTGCTCTCCAGGTGCAACTGCAAAACATGATGACATCTAAGTACATCGCTCACTTCCTGCAAGAAGTGTCCATGTGGCAGAAGAAGCTGTCCACCGCTGACCAGGTCATCTCCATCTACATGGAGGTACAGCGAACATGGTCCCATCTGGAGTCCATCTTCATTGGCTCAGAGGACATCAGAAAGCAGCTTCCGGAGGACTCCAAGCGTTTTGACAACATTGACACCGACTTCAAGGTACAGTTGTCCTACTTTGGCTGGGAAGAGGCACTTATGCTCGCAGACAAAAATTTTACCTTGTTAGGATAAAACTATTCTTAATGTCAAGTCATCACTGCTTTTGAATACACCGTGTGAACATGTATTGTGAGCTATTCTGCTTACTTCTGACATGACTTGTTAATTATTCTTGGAAAATGCTCCAAGGTAAAATAGATATTCTGCTTGGGAAAATCAAACTAGTTTTTTTTATTTCTGTGACATTTTAATTTGCATACTTTTGTCAATAAATGTGTTCAAGATTTTTTGTATCTCATCATTATAAAGTTGCTAAAAGTTTTCCCCAGATAAAGCAAGTGTTTTTGTATATCATGATCACCATCATCATCATAAAGATGCAGACATTGGCAATCATGGTTAACCAAAGATTTATTTTCTTGGATATTCTCAAAATATCCGTTTTATCATGGTCTTTCCTTGACACCCATCCTTTAAGGTTTTGTAAGTAAATTGCTCTGGGTCTACCCGTACCTTATTTGCCTTCCATTTTTCATGTGAGTTCAAGATGTTCAAGAGTCGCAGAAACTGCATTTTTCTCTTCCTAATCGTTTTTATTCTTTTCACTGTTTGTGGTAGTCTGGTGACCTAACTTATCCTAGTGTAACTCCTCTTTAAATCTGCCTTGTACTCTCCCTCTCAGATTCTTTTCCTGTCTAGCTTTTCCCAAATTTTAGATAGTTCATCAAGTCCAGGTTTATCAAAAGCCTTTGAATAATGAGTGAAACACAAATACAGATCTTTCTGTGCTTCAATATATTTGTCCATTAACATTGTTAATCATCCATGATTTTTGTATTTCAGGAGTTGGTCAGTCAGGTAGAGAAAACAACCAATGTGGTAGACTCCACCAACCAACCCAACCTGTTTGAAAAATTGGAGGGCCTGCAGGACCAACTGGCACTTTGTGAGAAAGCCTTGGCTGAGTATCTTGAGACCAAGCGTCTTGCCTTCCCCAGGTTCTACTTCGTGTCGTCTGCTGATCTGTTGGACATCCTGTCCAACGGAAATGACCCTGTCACGGTACGTTAACTACTTGTGAAACCAACATGAAGAACTGAACATGTAGTTGCTCTCTCCTTGAGAAGAGCATTTAAGATGTCTTTGACCTCCATATTCATCTTGATGTTATCACCCGAGCAGTTTTTTGTCCTCTTTCACTGTCCTGAAGATGATTTAAAGCTTGTAAGCAACACTTTGCTCCTTATCTTTTCTATTGTGCTAATTTGCGGTTACCTCTCATTTTATGGTGTCATGAGAGTCACAGTGACTCCTTATATCTGCCTGTTTGTGTCTTATCAAAGTGGATAGACAACAACTAAGTCTCTGAGGTGAAAGATGTGTCAACAAAACACAAGATTGGGAAAAACCAAGTCATCATGATTTGACACCAAATAGAATCATGAATTTTTTTTTTTATTAACATTTTTAAAAAGAAAAAAAAACCTCATGGGCTCAGTGATTCAAAGACAAGCAAGAACCTTGTGATTCTTGTTGCTCACTGACTCAGGAAAAACAACTCTTACTTTGTTTTCATCAGTGATACGGAGTCACATTTCAGAAAACAATATTGTTACTGTTGTCGGTTAGAGTTTTCACTTTTCTTACCCATTCTAAACACCATTTCAAGTAACGCTGCATCCATTGTTTTTAAAATATGTCTGACTCGAGAACTAAAGATGTAGTGAAAAAGTTATGGTTTATAAGAATGTGGGTCAGCTTTGTTGCCTTTCCTCCAGTTCCTTTTTAATCCTTTATATTGGGGGAAAAAGGCACTCAAGTATCAATGAGAGGTCTTTTAATTGGTGCTCACAAGGGCTTGTCCTTAAGCAAAACATGCTAAAACCGACTCAAATATAACGCTGCTCTGTGGCAACCTGCAAACAAATTTTTATGTGCATTTAAATTAATTGTGCTGTACTCCATATTGTGTTCTGTCCTACAGTGTTTGCGTGTATGTGTACAATTTGGTCAGTAAAATGTGCTGAAAGATAAGCAAAAGGGTCACCATTTTTAGGAGGCTGGGGTTTTTTTCAGCTTGAATGAGCTATTTTGTGTTTGGTTCTCCGCAGGTGGCTAAACACTTGACCAAACTGTTTGATTCAATGGCCAAGTTGAAGTTTGAGACAGACAAAGATGACAACCCCATCAAGAATGCCCTGGGCATGTACAGTAAAGATGGAGAGTATGTCGATCTCAACAACCCCTGTGATCTCAATGGGCAGGTGAGTGGCTTGTCACAGAATTGTTGTTTGTTCATTGGTGTACTGTTTGATTTACTAATGCAACTGTTGTGAGAGAGACTTTGTTTCAGGTTGAGTATAACCTTCATTTTTACATGAGCATTTTGTTCATATGTGTATTTTGTACAAGTGTACTTTATTTCAAAGAAATAACACTTATCCCAGCAGTAGCTATAATTAGGAAGAGAGGATATAAACCACAGACCATATACCAAAGTTAAGAGGATTTACCTGATATAATAATATGATCTTATTTTTTAGTCTGTAATTCCACCAATAAATGGGTTGCCCACTTTTTACTGCTGGTGGTTGCTGGGTCTCTTCATTCAACTCCCCCCCCCCCCAAAAAAAAAACAACAACCAAAAACAAAAACAACAACAACACCGAAACCCCCCCAAAAAAAAAAACAACAACCAAGGGATGATGTTGTCATAGAACTAAATGTAAGCTTTTATACAAGTCATAGTAGAATAAATGAAAATAAAAGAAAGTCCCACTTTATCTATCCTTGTAGGGAAATTTGATCTACAGTGCCTTATATAAAATACCCCCCCCCCCAAAAAAAAAAATGTAAATACATTCATAGAATATTTTGTGAAAGTTTTATAATACACAGTAAGATACTAGATATGTCTGTTTTGTTCTGACAGGTTGAAAACTGGCTGAACCGTCTCTTGGAAGCAATGAAGGCTACCGTGAGACATGAAATGACTGAAGCTGTCGTGGGCTATGAGGAGAAGCCCCGTGACCAATGGCTCTTTGACTACCCTGCACAGGTAATTTGGACTTAGGTGGACGGGTTACTCTCAGTATCTTACATTGTCTTTGTAATAAATCATATCTTTCTGTTGTGTTGCTTGAAACACAAATAAACTTCTGCATCAGCAGGGAAGTGAAAAAGTTGGATTATGTAAGCACTCTCAGAAATGCAGTAATAATTTTTGTTAAGCTTCTAATAATAATGCCAAATCAGTTAACTTGGTACAAATGTAGTTCTAACATCACCTGAGAGGATAAGAAAGCACATTTGTCTTCAGATTTTTCAAGGATTTTAAACAGGAAAAATAATTTATTCTCAGTAACTTATCTAGAGTAGATAAAAGGTATTTTTCTGCTTTTTTGTTAAGGAGAAACAATGTTAAAACTTTCAGGGTCTTCAGTAAAATGTTGAAGGAAAACATATAAAAGAAAGATTCTGTCAGAGTGGCTAATCGCTATCAGTCTTTTGATAGTCTTAAATTTTTGTCTTTCTTCATTTTCATCTTTGTCTTATAATTCTTTTCTTTTTTACTTGTGTGCTAAGCTCTCTGAATAAGTATGTTTTCATAAATTGTCTAATGTTTCTATTATGCTCTATGTCATAACTTTGTTGCTTTTTTTTACCGCATTTTTATTCTATTCTGGCTTCCCCCAGGTGGCGCTGTGCGGCACACAGATCTGGTGGACCACCGAGGTCAACATGGCATTTGGTAGACTGGAAGAAGGCTACGAGAACGCTCTAAAGGACTACAACAAGAAGCAGATTCAGCAGCTGAACGCTCTAATCACCATGTTGCTGGGAGACCTCACCAGTGGCGACCGCCAGAAGATTATGACTATTTGCACAATTGATGTGCACGCTCGTGATGTTGTGGCCAAAATGATAACACAGAAGGTTAGAGGCCAAAGTCTAAGTTTGGCAACTTGTTTCTCTTTATTTGTGAGGCATGCTGACAAAATGAGTTATTTCTCGCAATCCATGAATCGAGATATCGGCTGAAAATCTACACAAAGGTCATATTTATAGATTCCAAACCAATGCCATTCTCTTCAAGCTTTAGATGTCTTTTATCATTTTATACAAATAAATTGTAAAAACTCAACCTATAAATTTGACGTATGTATTTCTATCAGGCTAAAATCCGAGAAGTAACTCATTTTGTCAGCATGCCTCACATTTAGTTATGATGTCAGTGGATAGACAATGATGACTCAATAACAATAGAACAAATAGTGTATTGAATGCAGCTATAGCAAATTTTGTGTTACTTGTGTAGTATTTGCTATTAACAAAATACTCACTGAATTGCAATACAGGAGGTTATTCTCACTGAAAATGTTCCACGATCTGTGCAAAGGCATTTGAAATTAATTCTAATTTACCTTTTCATGTGTTGGAAATTGTAAGAGAATACTAAATTGAAGATGATTACCGTTTTCATCTAAAAACAAACTGATTTCTTCCCTTTAAACATATACCTACTAACATATGCATTGAATGTTTCCTCAGATCGACAGTTCTCAGGCTTTCCTGTGGCTGTCACAGCTGAGACATCGCTGGGATGACAATGAGCGTGACTGTTTTGCCAACATTTGCGATGCTCAGTTCCGCTACTCCCATGAGTACCTGGGCAACACCCCACGTCTGGTCATCACACCCCTCACTGATAGGTATGTGCTGATGTACTCTTATGGAGTTTTGATGAGAAATGGTATATTTTCTGTTGATGTACTCTGTTCTCACTTTTTTTCTCCCACAGCTGCCATTGACAGCTTTACTGTAACATTTTGTTGAGACTGGATTAGATTGTAGTATCATCAGTAAACAAAAGACAGAAAATTCAAATAAAGCTTTAATTCATTAGATAATTCAATTTCTAGATTTTATAAAGATCTGTCCTGTATTCATTCCTAGAGGAGAATGATGTACGGTTGAGAAGCAGGCCTTAAAATCAATATTGCACTTATGGCTGAAGAACCTATTGTAGACTTCCCTTACGTTGGTACTCTTAATATTTGTACCTTTTAACTCTTTATCTCCGAGGGGGGTAAACCACTATACTGGGGCTCTTTTTTGGTATGAAATCTAAAAGTGCCAAAAACATCACTAAATTGGTAATTAAATCAAAACAAGTGAACCTATTGTGCTAGTTCTTCATCTAATGAATGAACACCCGGTAAAAGAGACCTGTTTTTAATAATTACTGAAAAGTAATTTGATGTTAAAGGATGTGCCCAAGCCGCTGCCAGCAGAGTTAACAAGGTACTCTTAGTATTTGTGCAAGAGAATCCACAAGGAGAAAAAGAAAGAGAAGAAGAAAAAGATCCAGCTGTTATTTCAGTGTCCCCCGATCCCCCTGCACTGTCCACCCCGTTTCTCATCTTCTCCACTCCAACCACTTTGAGAGGATACCTCTTCATTCTGTGCATGTCCTCAGATGCTACATCACACTGACCCAGTCTCTGCATCTCATCATGTCCGGAGCTCCAGCTGGGCCTGCTGGAACCGGCAAGACAGAGACCACCAAGGATCTGGGCAGAGCCCTCGGCATCATGGTCTACGTGTTCAACTGCTCAGAGCAGATGGACTACAAGGTACAAGACAGGAAGCTGCATGAGTCCATGCGGAATCTTTTGCTTTGTATGAGTGTCTTGTAACACTAGAGATCTGTTAGTTTGTTTCTTAATAAATGTTCAAAGATATAGGCTCATCCAACTCAAAAACATCATGATTTTGTGCCGATAACTTTTGACTGCCTGGATTTTTTTCAAGCTTTTACCAGTAATCTTGTTTCCATTTGTCTTTATTTTATGTAAGTAAATGGTTCAGGCATGATTATTATCAAGCAATGTTTTCTTGGTGTCTTTGTCTTTGTCTAACATTAGGGTTTCTTTTTGAACTGTTTTCAGTTGTTAATCCTGTGTTTAACTATTATATTTTTGCCTGGTTCCCTTCAGTCCATTGGCAACATCTATAAGGGGTTGGCACAGTCTGGCTCCTGGGGATGTTTTGACGAGTTCAACCGCATTGCTGTGGAGGTCTTGTCCGTGGTAGCTGTCCAGGTGAGAGGCCGTGGTGGCTTGGTCTGTTCATATCAAAAACATTGAAAGCTAATTGAACATTCTCACAGATTTTAGCATACCAACATATCCATTTTTTGCAGAGTTAACCTGAGAGGTGACAATTTTTAAAAATATTAGTGATACTAGTTATTTTTTTTGTGCTGCATCACACCATAACAGTACCCTGTTGAAAACTTTTGCCTCAAATTAACATTGCAGTTTCACCTTCCAAAATTTGTTTGTGGTAACGCATTTGTTAATTATTGTTTCCAGCACGAAATAACTATGTAGATTGGGGGTTTTTTTTAGTTCTCCTAAATTTGACTTTTAAACTTTTATCTGTGTTGTATTGCTTATTATTTGTGTGTTTGTTGTGTTGATATTGTATAATCTTATTCTTTTGTTATACTTCTTCTCTTATATTCTTCTTCTTCTTCTTAAGGAATAAAAGACTGCTCGATCTTCATCTCATGCTGTAGTTGATTTTAAGTACATGGCTGTTTTATCTTCATAGAAAATGTGCTGTTTTGGAAGGTACTCTTAGTATTTGTGCCTACTAGAGTTGATTCAATATTTAAGTATGAATAGACTTTGAATTTGATGCGGATGGCAGCCTGAAAGGCTTACTCTTTTCGATTTTAGAACCACCAAGGGATCTTTAACAAGCAAAACATTCTCACAGGTCCTCCGAAATTTGTCATCCCCATTCAAGAAGCATAGGTGCTCAGTCCTGCCTATCCTTGAATCAGGGGTGAGGGGAGGGGGGGTGTTGAAAATAAGAAAAGAAAACTCCACACTGGCTGGGATCAAACTCCAGACCTCAGGGTTGAGAGGCGAGCATCATCCATACCTGTTGAGCTAATGAGCCCCCTTTTGTCAATGTATTTACTTTAGATTATAAATTATTGTTTGACTTTCACAAACCAGCAATATGTTACTGTTGCACCCTTGTATTTCTAGCACAATATTTTCCTGTCTATTTCATGTGTTTTGTGAGTGTGTTACTGGTAAATTTATTTCGTTTGTTGCGTAACCGTCTTAGTATCTCCTGTGCCGTGTTGTGTGATTTATATAGAATTCTGTCTGTTTTATTTTTCCTCCGTATCATAGTTTTCATTTCATTACCACCTCTTTAGTGTACAATGTTCATGAATCACGTTGGTTGCCCATGCAGGTGAAGACAATCCAGGATGCGATCAAGGACAAGAAGAAACGCTTCAACTTCCTGGGTGAGGAGATCAACCTGATCCCCAGCGTAGGAATCTTTATCACCATGAACCCAGGTTATGCCGGCCGCACAGAGCTCCCTGAAAACCTCAAAGCTCTGTTCAGGTGGGTTCAACAGCTCCTTGGGCTCTCTTCATTAAAAACAGAGGGAAACTTTGTGACACAAGATCTCAACAACAATAACCTGATGTGTTTTAGATCTATAGTCATGTACTAAGTAGTCTTTTTATTAACTGTCTGCATACAATGGTACAAGTCTGTTTTCTTTGACACAATAGATTTCATTATCAGGGGGTTTTTTTGTTTGGTTGGGTTTTTTTATTGGTTGGGAGGGGGGGTTGTTTGTTTTGTTTGTTTGTGTTTTTTTTGGGAGGGGCATAATTATTTTGTAGGTTCATTTTTTACATTTACTTATAATTTACGTATTTGTGGGATGGAGGTTGTCATTGGAGTTAATTTGCTTTTAATGAATATTTTTTTTTAACTGTTAAAGTAATAAATCAATTAGTCATTCATGAGTGCAGTTATTAGGAGGATATGAGTTCAGTCTGAGGTTTTTTAACATTAACTTTTTGACTTCCCCAGACCATGCGCTATGGTGGTGCCTGACTTTGAGTTGATTTGTGAGATCATGTTGGTGGCTGAGGGCTTCCTTGATGCCCGTCTCTTGGCCAGGAAGTTCATCACACTGTACAGTCTGTGCAGAGAACTCTTGTCAAAACAGGTCAGTCATTAGGTGTTTGAGAAGCAAAGCATATAGCTTTTTTTTAACATGTCATTAGCATGCAAGGGCATAAATTCAAAAGACACATCTTTAAGAATTATATTTTTCTAGCTGGATAGTTTTAATTTTGAGAACTGTTGTATATAATGCAATATGACTAAGATTAAGAAAATTGCTTCTTAACAACTGTAGTAATTGATAGGGAGATTGCAATTAGATAAACAGTGGAAACAATTTGTTTTGTGGTAAACTCTTATAAAAACTATACTGTTTGTAAAGTTGTCCTTCGTTCAAATCTTCATTGTTTCCAAAATGATAGAAATTGTGTTGATAGAGGCTTAAAATATATACAATCATCACAAGCTTGAATGATATTTCCTCTTCTTTAGATATTTGGGTGTTATTCCAAACCGAATCATAAATGACTTGTTTATCGAGAAACCAACTGTCTGTGTTTTTGCCTTTTTCAGCCTGTGTTAAAATCCATATTTTCTTTTTTATCAGTAAGCTTGGATCTTTGATTTGTATGTGAATGCCATACCAACACTTTTTTCAACAAAAAATGTTATTGCTTTCACTTTTGCAATCTGCTGAACTCGTTATGATTCAAATGGTAGAACGTGACTGACACCATGGATCTCATACCATGTTACGATCATTATCTTGCTTGCTCACCGCAAACTGAAAGCAACTCAATAATAATAATAAAAACAATAAATGACATTTATATAGTGCTCAGCCTCGATTAATATACACAGGCTCTGAGTGCTTTACAATACAATACAATAGTAACATAAAACTTTGAGTTCTGACCTGAAGCAAATCTCTCAAAATATTCATCTTATTGATTTAAAAACAGAAATGACTTCAGCTGACATTTGAATGAATCAAAGGATTTGATCTCTTTTAACACTTTGCCATCATATTTTTGGGAAAATCCAAAGAAACTGGGTGGTAAACATCGCGAATAGATGAGATGAGGCGCCAAAGTGTTAAAGTACTTGGCAAAGCATCCTAGATCTTGGGGCCTTGATCTTCAAATGTCCTTTCACCCATTGTTTGAAGTTTCATAGATGGTAAAAGAACTTTCTTTTTGTCAACCCCCCACTTTATTTTCCTTCCGTCTATTGTCCAGGACCACTACGATTGGGGTTTGAGAGCCATCAAGTCTGTGCTTGTGGTGGCCGGTGCCCTCAAGAGGAGTGACCGTGGTCGACCAGAAGACCAGGTAAGTGGCCCAGACAAAAGCAGCAAAATGAGTGAGTGTGCAGATGTAGAAGGAGCCTGTTTTTGCTTTTATGATACAAAGTAAAAGGGGTTTGTGTGTTGTTTTCCTTCTGTGTTGTGACTGTAAGGAGTTATCCGGATAAGCAATGCATCGTGTCATGGGTGAAAATTGAAGAAGGGGTTTACTCAGACGAAGGGCCATACTCAGTGGTAAAGAACTTTGATATATGAAGGTGGCTTATATGATACCTTTTTCGTACTTCCAATAGATCCTTGTTTTAAAGTAAGAAATTCTAGTAAAGGAAAAATCATACCAGTATCTTATTAAATTTCTTCTAAGTTGTTATAAATCTGGCTCCCTTTCAACTTCTTATGAGGAGGAATTTGATATATGTCTTAAGGATATCAGATAGATATATATATAAAAAGGGGGACTGACCTCAAATACCACAGGAACTTAAAATATGTTTTTTCTATGAAATACAAGAAAATACCAAAAAACAAATGGATTTGTGAAATAGCATCAGAGCTGTATAAAAAGGGTGGTATGGATCAAAAGGAAAAACAAAAGGAAATTGTCCAAATCTCTAATAGTTTATTGTGTTATCATTGTAGATGAGGACAATCCACATGGTTTGCTCAAATGGTCTTTGGCTGTGGTTTGTACCACCCATAACTTTCTGTCCCATATTTGTCATTCTGTGTTGTTTGTAGCTTCAGTTGTAGCATCGGGTAGTTTGAAGGCACCTTTAATAGGGGCTACTTCTTCACTAATCTGCAATTTTATCTCTCTGTCCATGTTGCTTTTATCCAGCATAAAATGACTACTATTGTGTTGATGTGCTTTTGTTTGCTTAGACTTTACTCAAACTGAAGCAGGAAGTGTGACCAGATGGTTTTTGTCTGTGGCTTCAACCACAAGTAACATATCCTGCCCCAAATATGCAGTGTTTTCAAATAAAAGTTCAGACGGAGCCATTGAATTTGATCAGACTACTGCTGGATGTAGTTTGATTCACCTATCATTAATGCACCATGCTTGTTTTAACAGGTGCTGATGAGAGCTTTGCGAGATTTCAACATCCCCAAGATTGTGATTGACGACATGCCTGTGTTCATGGGTCTCATTGGAGACCTGTTCCCAGCACTGGACGTGCCCAGGAAGAGGAACATGGAGTTTGAGGCCAACATCAAGCAGGCCACGCTGGACCAGAAACTGCAGGCAGAGGACAACTTCATTCTGAAGGTCAGCAAAGATGCAGTCTGAAAATTTACACTCTAGTAATTGAAAGGGTGAGAAAATAAAGGGTCTTAGTCACATTGAGGTCATTTCAAGGATAAAACAATGTCTTCAAACAAGGAAAAAAATTTTACCTCACTTCACTCTGATGCAAGTCACAATTGGTAGAGATGGAATATGTGAATGATTGGAGTTTGTACCTAACATACTGCAAAATTATAGATACCCCAGGAGACTGAAACGGTAAAGTCGAATAAAGAGGCAAGCCAAGGGAGTTGTTATGAGGTTGTATGAGCCTTCAGGGGGATTCAGAGCTGTTGCTGTAAATAAGTTCTTCAAATTTTAAAACATTTCTGCTTTGTTATTTCTTTTTTTGAACAAAACATTCTGTGTCACTATCTCAGTCCTGTTGAAACTTGTTGGAATATATAATGTTTTTAGGTATGTTTGCCGTGTATTTGAAAGAGAAAACAAGTTGTAATTGTCTAAGATGACTACCCAATGTCAAGGAGAAAAGTTTCCATCTTACACAGTGTCATTATAATCTTTAAAACATCGCAGGTCGTAAATGGTTAGGAGCCATTTGTACAGGTGATTGTCTTCTACAGGTGACTGTTAGAGCAAGTTTGACTGTATTATGTTGTTTTGATACCATCTTCTTGAGCGACTGTTGAGCAATGCCCTAAACTCTCTACCCACATATTGGCAGATTGTACAACTGGAAGAGTTGTTTGAAGTGCGTCACTCCGTCTTCCTGCTGGGAAATGCTGGAACAGGCAAGAGCCGTGTCTGGGCAACTTTACAGCGCACATACAAAAACCTTGGCAAGAAGCCAAATGCTGTTGACCTCGACCCTAAGGCTGTGACCAATGATGAGCTGTTCGGTGTCATCAACCCGGCCACCAGGGAGTGGAAGGATGGTGAGGACTCACATGCACCTCTTTGTCTCATAGTGTCCATGCTTTATTTTGCCTTTGGAGTCAGGACTGAATTTTCATTCATCGCCTATTTCAGCCTCATAGATCTCTCCCTTGTATCTCTCTGTTTCTATGATCTCTCTCTTTCTCTCCCTCTCTCTTAATCTCTGTTTACCCACCTGCCTGCCTTTCTCTGTCTGTCTGTCTGTCTTTCTGTCTGTCTGTCTTTCTGTCTGTCTGTCTGTCTGTGTGTGTCTCTCTCTCTCTCTTTCTCTCTCTCTCTCTCTCTCTCTCTCTCTCTCTCTCTCTCTCTCTCTCTCTTTCTCTCTGTGTGTCTCCCTGTGTCTCTCTCTCTCTGTGTTTATATGAGTTAAGTCGGCTTGCAAGTTTTTAATGTATTTGTATAGTGGAAATTCTCGTAATCTGACATACTTCGCTTTGCCTTGATTTTTTATGAATGGGAAGGATAACACCTTTAAGATTGTAACAAACTGTGCCTGTTTGTTTCTCAGGTCTGTTCTCCGTCATCATGAGGGACCTGGCTAACATGTCCGGCGATGGACCCAAGTGGATCGTACTGGACGGAGACATTGACCCCATGTGGATCGAGTCTCTGAACACTGTCATGGACGACAACAAGGTAAAAGGATCCATTCCAAACCAGTGGAAATATAGAGGAAAGACTGTCAATAATTTTATCACTTTATGATAATATCTTGTCATCTTTATGGTTTTACACATATTAGTAAGTCATGTGGTTGAAGGGTGACACTGGGTAAGTCTTTCTTTTTCGCTATCCCTATCAGCTTTTTTTTCTGTTTTATTTTGTTACACTTATTGATCCTTGTTGTGTTGATATTATTCTTTTCAACTCAAAATGGGCAACAAGCAAACCCAAGCTTTTACTCCTTTTTACTTTGTCAATGAACAGAGGAATAATTTTAACCCTTTCGTTGCTAGGGAGTATGCATTCCTACTGTCAGCACTGATTTTCAGCTAAGTTCACTGCCCAGGACAGCAGCTTAATGTCTCAGTGTTAAAAGACCCACGGTCTAGATCTAACAAACTCGTGACATGTTACGGATATTGGGTCTTCGATTATGTCACTTTTCTTACTTTTCTTCTTCCCCATTTCCTCCCGTCTCACTCATAATTTCAAATAACCTGCAAATTTTAGTCCAAAATTGAATTTTATTTGCCTTTTTTAAAGTCATTTTGATGTTAACGCTTTACGAGAGCACCTAGCCGCCTGCAAGCCTAGATCTGTGATTATTGATCACTTGCAAGTCTAGCAGAAGAGTAATACTAGCAAATTTGGTTCGGATGTACGCGTCTTTTATTCCCAAATACGAAGCTACGCAGCTCTTGTAGCTAAAATTCCATACAGAAGAATTAAGGCCAGGTTATTAGCTTGGCGTACATGTAACATATAAGCAACCAGGAGCGGCAAATTTTGCCAACTTCCGTGACATACATGGTACGGCACAGTGCTAAAAATTGTGCTTTTTCATGGCGTACCAGGTACGTCATAAGGCAACGAAGGGGTTAAAGATAAGGGAGCAAATTATTTTTGTCGGGATACATATTTTTTATTGAGAGTGATTTAATAATGCACCAGAAGGTGCACTTAATATCAAAATGGTAAACCTGTTTGCCGAAAAATACATTGTTGGCAATAAAGTTTTGCTAATGAGATGCAATACGAGCGTTTATGCCAGTTTCTTGCTTCTCTTGAAAATTGCATTTTTGAGATACATCCATTTTTTTTTTTACTTCCACAACTATGAGAAGGAGGTCAGAACTAAAACAAATAGGAGGCAAGTATTTTGTGTAGTGAAAGAAAATAGTGAATTTCTGTTCCCTTTGAGATTTGAATTCCATTTCTGCTTGCTCCTGGTTAAAATTTCACAATTGTATTTAAACTCTTGGGTCTGATAAACAGATAACCAGTTTTCGTTATGAATTTTTTTTTTTTTATTAGTTGACATTCATTCATTTAAGGCTGTGTCATTAGTTAGGTTGGAAGTGCACTGATATATGACGTGAGTGTTGAAGCATGTTATGAATCTGTGCCTGAAATATGGTGATTTGAGGAGTATTTGAGACTCACCACAAAATCTGGTTGGAGATGGGTCTTTTTTCAAAAGTTATGCCTCTGTAGAGAGTATACAACTTTATGGGTTGGAGCAACAGCAAATATTTTGATGCCCTATCTCGAAATAACCTGAAGTTATAATGGAAAGGGGTTGAAAGTAAAACTTTACTCCCTCACAGGTGTTGACCCTTGCCAGTAACGAGCGTATCCCGCTGACTCCATCTATGCGTCTGCTGTTTGAGATCAGCCATCTGCGCACAGCCACACCCGCCACAGTTTCTCGGGCTGGTATCCTCTTCATCAATGCACAAGATCTTGGCTGGAACCCGTAAGTCTTATGTTGTTGTTGATGTTGATGTTGTTATTGTCATTGTGGTTTATTGACCTTATCCGTACGCCCTGGGGTCATTTTGTACCCCCGGGGTTGTATTCTTCACATTTAGAATACTTCTAGTACGAAGATCTTGTTGAAACTTTCAGTATTTCTCAAAAAATCATTTTGACAGACTGCTATGCAAAGTGTATGCAAAGCGTATGCTAAGCATACGGATGGGATTAACAAGTAAATTTCCTCTTTGGAAAGTGGTGGCACAGAGTTCCCCACATCGTATGGATGCGATAGTAAAACACGACGTACGGATAGGGTTAATGAACAATGTCATTGACTCAACTATGAAGTGATATTTGCAAGTTCTCCCAACCTTTTGAGCCATGTCATCAAAGCTTACAGGACTGGTGGGCCCAAGCTCCCTTGCATGATTACAAGATTCCACCAGCACATGCTGGTAAAGACTACTCTGTGCTTGGGTCTGTGGGGTTCAATTCTTATGTAGCTGTATGGAATATGTTCCAGTGTTTTGTTTTCCCATGCTGGGCAGCAAGATAATTTTATAATTTAAATTTCTGTTTAGATGTCTGAGAATGCATTTGTTTCTCCAGCTATGTCCAGAGCTGGATTGACACCCGGGAGGTCCAGTCTGAACGAGCCAACTTGACCATCTTGTTTGAGAAGTATGTGCCCTTGTGCCTGGAGATGCTGCGGAGCCGCTTCAAGAAGATCACTCCCATCGCAGAGATTGCTCATGTGCAGATGTTGTGCTTCCTGCTGGAGGTGTCCTTGACCCCCGAGAACACGCCACCCGACTGCCCCAAGGAACTCTACGAGCTCTACTTTGTTTTTGCCTGTGTCTGGGCCTTTGGAGGGGCCATGTTCCAAGATCAGGTGGGTGCTGAGTTTTATGTCATAGTGGCTTTCCATCTATGGGGCTTTTCCATAGTGGGGTGTTTTCCAGAACTGATGCTTTCCATCTCTAGGGTTTCTGTCTCAGGGGTTTTACTTTACAGGGATTTTCCATCACTGGAGCTTGACTATCTTTTCCTTCCCCAAGATTTTCTTGTTCTTAAACTGTTCACTGTGTACTGTTACATATCTTTGCTCATTCTAAGGTTAAATGTGCTGACAAGGTTTTTACTTTTTACATTTTTGCAAAGTCATATCTTCACTGTTACATGAACAACGAATAAATCAAAGTTTTTTTACTCTCAATATTAAACAGTTTGAAAGGAAATTGAATATTCTCTTTTTTAGGCTAAATTATCTTTAAGTAGATTATAGGTTTTTATGTATATCAACATTGAATATACACACATTTCTTTTATACCTAGTCTTGACAATGTTTCCAATATTTTATTTCAAACTTTCGTGGGTCAGGATTTCCTCCAGAATGAAGAATAAATGATATATACTTAAAATATTTGGAAACAAAAGGGGATAAAGTTTGGCCAAGCTTTTTCTACCAGGAACTCATGCCTCTACTTCTTATTTCAGCTGGTTGACCACAGAGTCGAGTTCACCAAGTGGTGGGTCACAGACTTCAAGACCATCAAGTTCCCATCTGCAGGCACTGTCTTTGACTACTACATTGACCCAGAGACCAAGAAGTTTGAACCCTGGACAAAGAAAGTGCCCAAGTTTGAATATGACCCAGACATTCCCCTGCAGGTCAGTCTTGAATATTTGAATATTTGTTGGCCTCTGCAAAGACTTTGTGATTGTAAGAAAAAAGTTTACATCAGTTTTAACCATTGTGAGTCGTAGGAATTAGTGTTATATTCTTCTTTCTAGGATTCATTTTTAATGCTGGCTACCTTTTTCAGGAACACTCTATTCTAGAGGGCTTTCTTTTCCTATTTCACTTTGCATAAAATTAATCTCTTTATTTCACTAGTATATTCTGATCTCTCATCACTTGGTTTGGTCCTATTGAAGATAGACATTTGTAGGAAATCCCAACTCTTCAATAGTTGTTCAGTCTTGAAAGCGACTTTAAATCCATACATTATAATACAAAAATAATTCCAACTCCATCCTCTCCTCCCTGTAGGCCACGCTTGTGCACACAGCTGAGACTATCCGCGTGAAGTACTTCCTGGATCTCCTTGTGGAGACCCGCCGTCCTGTCATGTTGGTGGGCAATGCAGGCACAGGCAAGACTGTGCTGATGCAGGATAAGCTGAACAACCTCACAGAAGACTACATGGTGGCCAACGTGCCCTTCAACTTCTACACCACCAGCGAGATGTTGCAGGTGAGTGGCTTACCACCAGCCAGATTTTGTTTAGTCTACTCTAAGGTATCAAATAAAGGGGGGGGGGGGGGACAAGTGGTCCAAAATTAATAAACAGGGTGGGTTGGTTGGGGGGGGGGGGAAATAAGAGGGGGGAGTGCACATTCAACCTCATGCCCCTGTACTTGTAGGAACAAATCTGTTTTATTTCTCCTTTAGTGAATAAAAGAACAAGAGATTACGTAATTTTAGTGATTTTAGTAAGTTACTGTGACAACTGTTCCCATTTAGGAACAAACCAATTTCATTAAAAAATATAAACATGCAAAGTTTTTAAAATGCACAGAAATGTTTTAGTGCTTTATTATGGATATGACCTTTTGGAATAAGTGGCTCTTTGAAACAGACTTGTGTATGTCTTTGAGATCAAGCATTTTGATAAGTTTGTAGATTTTCATGTTTTTCAATGCATATCCTCCATTTGTGTCATTTGTCAAGGATGGAGGAAAAGAGACATTCCAGATCCTGTGTTCACCTTTTTAAAGAATGGCTCACTTGACTGAGCATGCTTCTTGAGCTGCTATAATATGTGGCGTCCCCTTGAAAGTGATTTGAACTATTTCTTATTCCCCCAGAGAGTGCTGGAGAAGCCCCTTGAAAAGAAAGCTGGTCGTAACTTTGGCCCCCCTGGTGCCAGGCGACTGATCTACTTTGTGGATGACATGAACATGCCAGAGGTTTGTATAATATGTTCATTTTGGTCATTTTCAATGAAGAAAATAAGTGGCCAGGGAAAGTGAAAGTGTCGAAAAAGCTTGTAAATTTAGTTTTGTTTTTGTATCGCTGCAATCAAGAAGTAGAGAATAGAAAAAGGAGCTTCATGGCGATTTTTTATTTTGCAAAAATGCATTGATCTGTACCTGAATAAAAAAATAAAACAAAGCATTCTTTTTAAAGGAATACGAGCTTCAAGCCTTGGAACATAATTTATCTTAAAGTAGGAGAATTCGTAAAATTTATTGCATCTTCATCTTATGACTAGCTTTCACTTTCACTGAAAACTGTCAACTGTATCTTAACTTGAGACTGTGAATATATAGATAGGTTTTTTAAATCAAATTTTATACAGTTGAATCTTCCCTCATGGCCAGCTTTCCAAGATAGTCACCTACACAACTGACCACTTCTCACTTCTCCCCTTGGGTTTTTTACTTAGTTATAATGATGCTATCCAAGACCCCTACCTGTCTTAAACAACCAATTTTCTCCTCAACAGTACGTACCCATTTTGGACAGTCAAGAGTTTTAATGTTCAGTTACATGTTCCTCTTCTTAGATAAACTAGCTGTGTTGAAACGTTGAAAGTAAACAGTATCACTCACAAAACTTCTTTGAAGTGAGTATATTATTACGATCTGGGAGCTTTCATCTTCAGTCTTCCCTTTTACCTTGTGGTGTTGATGGTCTAGTGGTTAGTCTGTCGGATTTGTAACTGAAAGGTGACAGGTCAGGGTTTAACATTTTGTCCCTAGGAAAGGCACATTACACAAATTTTCCTCTCTTCACTCAGGTGGCAATGGGTACCCAGCTATACTCAGCAAACGATCTTGTCAGTTTGCTAGTGTTTGAGCACTTGATTGACTGCTTGCACTGTATGCTTTCAGGGAAACCTAGAATGTTTTGTTGTAAAAACATATAGAACATGCTGTTGAGCTTGGATAAGCGCTATAGAAATGTAGTAATCATTAAATCATTATTATTATTTTTGATGATGATGATGATGATGATGATGATGATTATTATTATTATTATTATTATTGTTATCTTCCTCCTCCAGGTGGACAAGTACTACACGGTACAGCCTCACACGCTGATCAGACAGCACATTGACCATGGCCATTGGTATGACAGGCAGAAGCTCTCACTCAAGGACATCCACAACACACAGTATGTCTCCTGCATGAACCCCACAGCTGGAAGTTTCACCATTGACTCCAGACTGCAGGTAACTACCACCTCCTCTTCCCCCGTCTCTTCCTATTCCTCTATCTTTTCCTCCTCCCCCTCCCCCTCCTTCACCTTCCTCTTCTTTCTCCAACTCATTCCTCCTACTCCCTCTCCTCCCCCTCTCCTCCCCCTCCTCCCTCTCCTCCCCCTCCACCTCCTCCCCTTCCTCTCCATTCTCCTTTTCCTTCTCCTTTTCTTTCTCCTTTCCTTCCTCTCCCTACTCCCTCTTCTCCAAATCATCTCCCCCTCCCTCATCCTTCCCCTCCACCCCTCTCCACCCCCCTCCACCCCCTCCACCTCCCCCCCCTTCCTCCCCCTCCACCCCTCTCCACCCCCCTCCACACCCCTCCACCTCCCCCCTTCCTCCCCTTCCTCCTCATTCTCCTTCTCTTTATCCTTCCCCTCCTCCCCCTACTCCCTCTTCTCCCAATCATCATCAAAAAGATGGATAGGTCCCCATGACAAAGCCCAATTTTTTATTTATTCATTTCCTGAATTTAGAAAAATATGTTTGACAAAAAGTTCGCGTCCTTCTTTGGCCTTTGTGATTATTCCACTGAAAATCTAAACAAATCTGCGCAGCTCTCCTTCACAGCGGAAGTGCTGAAGTGATATTTCCCGAGGCGCGTTTTGTTTTGAGAGTATAGATCTAGACCTTCTACTTTTTTGCATTTCTGTAGATTTATTGCTCCATTCCAGTAGAGTGTAAACATAGACAGTAGGCCAATGACTTTCAGTTGATATTAATACACCTATCATTCCTTTCATTGAAAGGGAGCCCAGCTAGTATATGATATACATATAGGCAATCTCCATGCTCAGAGGCCTTTCTGCATACTTGCACTGTTTCTTGAAATGAATCTCTTTTATTTTGCTGTCTCCCTACTTCCTTACACTGTTTTGATTTTTTTGGTTCACAGAGACATTTCTGCGTGTTTGCACTGAGTTTCCCGAACCAGGATGCACTGTTCACCATCTACACAAGCATCCTGAGCCAGCATCTATCCATGTGCAACTTTGTGGGCGCAGTGCAGAAGTTCACCAACAACTTGGTCAACGGAGCACTTAGCATGCAGAACAAAATCACCACCACTTTCCTGCCCACAGCCATCAAGTTCCACTACATCTTCAACCTCAGGGACATGTCTAACATCTTCCAGGTGCGCCTATAATCTGGATATTGTAGAAAGGGGTTTAAAATCAGACTCAAACTCAAATGGGGGGATGCCTTGGTTTAATGGATGTGTTATTGAGGCAAGCTTGTCTGCGGGGGGAGGGTGG